GTGGGCAAAATTGCTCCTTTATTTAAATCCGGTGACGTATACTTAAAACTTAACTACCGGCCCATCTTATTTACAAGCGGCCCTGAGAAAGTTTTGAACATATAATTTATCTTAACATGGGTACATTTCTTGGAACTAATTTATTTTTATCTCATGCCAGCGCGGGTTCTGTAAGCCATTCGCATGTGAGATCTAAGTAATATATTATAAAAATACGTATTTAGTGCCTTAGACAATTAATTTTATGTCGACCGCGGATTCTTAGATCTTCCTCAAGCTTTTGATCTTATTTCTCACCAACTTCTTCTTTTTCTTTAAGTGGAGCAACCTAACATTGTTAGGAACATTATTTATCTTACAGAACTCAGTTCGTAACCGCTAACGATTTCGTTCTTCCTTTTGCGAGGTTGGCTCTGGTGTGCTGCAATGCTTGGTCTCTGGCCCCTGCATTATCGGGTAATATCCTCTAATGCCGAAAGATTCATACTTCAGACTGACATTAACAGAATTTCTACTTAGAGCGATAAGTGGAAAATGAGTCTTAGTTTTAATATATTAAACACAAAGTAATGCAAATCTTCGGCCATGCTAAAAGTCAAAACTACTCCAACTATACCATTGTAGTGTCTGTGCTGTGACACGTCCTACAAGTACCTAGGTGTCCATATCACCGTCGACCTTTCCTGGCAGGCGCATATCAACTGTATCGTAAAAAATGCTACTGAGATGCTTGGGTATTTACGTCCAAAATTTTCTAAGGTGCTTTGATCTTAAAAGGTTTTACTCCACAAAACATTAGACCGTTAAAATCTTGAGTACGCTTCAGCGGCATCGAGTCCAAGCCTAGACTTTCTTAGTGATAAGCTAGAATTAGCTAAAAAATGCCGGGCACGATTCATTCCGTTCAGCTACCATCGTGGGTTAAGTATTTCATTAATGAGAGCTACTTTAAACCTTCCTCTTCTCGCTCTGCGAACAAAAGTGTCTTAGTAGCCTTTTTGTGAGATATATCATAAAAATCATTCACTAAAGGCGAGTTGCTTTTAGAACCGTTATACTTGTCTTCCCGTGTGGACCATAGTCATAAAAATGCTGTAACTCATAGTTCCACTAAGATGAACTCTTAATGAAAAAACTGGGCGCAGGCAAGCTGGTGTAAGTTTACCATTTTTTTAGACCACCTGAAACTGGGTGGAAGAAACACGACGACGTCTCAAACACAACTAACCACTTTATTCAGTGCTCTTTTTTTTAATAAACATTCCAAGGAATGGCACCAAGGGACACGCTTTGACTTCGCAGCCACGCTAACCTTAAAAAAAAATTAAAAAAATATAAAGAATCACTTGGAACTAACAAAACGTACAAACACATCAAAACATCGGCCGGAGAAACATTCTTTGACCTCGCAGCCATTGGTATCTTTGCGAAGAACGAACAAGCGAATCGCAGGGAACCGACTGCAGTTCGTAGCCGGTTCATGGCTACATGGGGACTTCCAGAACTGGAACGACATCAGGAGGGCCCACTTCAACGGGACTTGGTGCGTAAAGCGAAAACATGTTTTGGACAGTGTTAAGATATTAAGTGCGTGCGGGAGAATGGATGGAGAGTGGATAGAAATCTTGTTAGACAGATATATCAAGGAGTTCCTCATAAAAACAGCTATCTTCGTGTACCCCACACGTCCCTTGTAAACCCATGTGGAGAAGCGGTATTCCGGAAGACTGAGGAAATTTTAAGAAGAGGGCCGAAGTTTTGTTTAAATGTAAAACCATCGAGATTGGACGTGTTCTCGTCGATACAGACAGTCGCGAAAGTTTTCACTCAGTATGAGAAGGCAGCTTTTGTTGATCAAGCAATTGGCCGAATGGAAAATGTCATGGGCAGGGATTACCCAACGGAAAGATGGAAATATCGTGAAGTAAAAACGGTAAAAATGAGTTAGAATTTAAATCGCTAGAGGTGTTGCAGGCGGACAAAACTGAGAAGTTTGCACTCTTACCCAAGTCGGTTTTCCGGGAGAAGGCAAAGGAAGATTCCTTGTTTGTGGAATGGAGCGGGAATATTAGTAAGATGAGAAAAGAGAACTGTGGAGTTCTTAGGAAAGAGGATATTTGAAAGGACGGCAAAGGGGATATTGACTTCAAGACACTCAACAATGAGCCTGAAGTTTTCTTCTAAAATACCATAAACCTGAGTTTCCTTTCCCCACAGTGATAAATGAGAATGGGACTTGGCAGAAGGTGGTGTCTCAATTCCTGCAACAAAGGTTAGAGTATGTAAGGCTTGAAGATTCGCTCTCACAGAGAAACTCAAACGAATTAATTGACATCCTGGAGTTCCATCGTGGAAGGAAGTGCTCGATAGTTTCTATGGACATAAAATACGTTTATTATTCGTTCGATAATAGCAGACTGATGAAGCGAGTAGAAGAGGCCCTGGAGCGTAATCTCGTAAATTTCCAGTCAGGTTCGGGCATTTCGGTAGATTGTTTCCTGACGGTGTTGGATCTGTATCTTCGTTCAACGGTGGTTGAATACGATGGCAAAAATAGTGCAGAAAGATGTAGTGTGCATAGGTTCATCGGTGGCACCAGCTTTGGCGGAGATATACCTAATATCTCTTGATTCTGTCGTGGTGGAAGGACCAAGAAAAATGCCGTCAGGTATCTGTATAGTCAGCAGATATGTCGACGACATTGTGGTAAGCATCTTTCCGAGTGGAATTGCTGAGAAGCAAGAGTCACTAATAGTGTCATCAGCTCCTGAACTGAAGTTCACAGTGAAAAAACCAACTAATGATGTGTTACAGGTTTTTAGCCTAAAACTTCATATGGGTGAAACCCTACGCTGGGAGTATGTAAAAGATGTTCCAAAACCAGTACTCCCAAAGAAGAGTTGCCACTCTAAGACAGTAAAGGCGAGTGTCGTTACATCGCTGTTCACCAATGCTCTGAACAAACAGGTCATGTGTTCATTCCATGGCTCAGGCAGAGAGGGGGCAGTGGCAACGATTGATTAACGCAGGCTACGAGAGTGATTTCACCGGGAGGCAAATTACCTTAATAAACCGGGAAAAGGAAAAGGCAGAGGAAAAATCGAGAAACAAGCCGCAGTGATGCCGTATTTTCACACCGTGTCACACAATGTAAAAGCGTGTGCAACACAATTTAACGTTAATGAGATTTTCAGCTCGGACTTTAAGTTGGGCAACTTTACCCCCTTCCAAAAAAAAAGGATGATAAAAGGGCCACAGGGAAAAGTCTGTGCTTTGTGAAACTGGTGTCGTTTGCGACATACCGGTGATTTGCGGTTTTAGGTATATAGGGCAGACCTCAAGATGCTTGAACGATCGTCTGACTGAGCACAAAAGAAACGTAAAGATAAAAGCGACTAATTTCGAAATTGCGACACACGTACAAGAATGCAGAAACTGCTCAGCAGGTTTGGTACAACGGTAGTATGCAAAGAGGTCAATGACGTCAAAATAGTTGTAAAATAGATCGTAAAAATTAGGTCGATCGGCAATTGCATAAACCAGGCGTCTATGCTTCTTAGTGATAGGGCGAAAGCTTTTCTGCGAGTATGAATTGATGAGGTCCTGTGTTTTTCGCGAGAGGTACCTCCCTTGTCATAATCTTGTTCCGTTAGTATGCGTAAATTAAAAAAAAAGAGGTGTAACAGATTGATGGGTTCGAACTGCAGTCGGTTCCGTGTGGCTCGCTTGTTCGTTTTTCGCAAAGATAAGAGTAGCTGCGAGGTCAAAAAATGTTTCTTCGGCTGATGTTTTAGTGGGTGTGTACCGGGTGTCACAAAAGAAAATTTACACGGTCTTTTTACCGCAAAACTAAACTAGGCGTCGCCGAACGCTTATTCTCCGCCGAAAGGTAGAGCTAGAGGTCACAACCAGATGCCAAAGTTTCAGCCCGATCTGGTAACTTAATCAAAAGTTATAATTGATTTTCTGAAAAGTTCAATGGGAAAATGGAGCCCATTTTTGCCCGTTTTCGGTTTCTGGTGCCAGAGAGCCCCATGTGTTTGAAAACTCCGTCTGCTGCCATTTTCCCATCCAAATTTTCAGAAAATCACATAACTTTTGATTAAGTTATCGGATCAGGCTGAAACTTTAGCATCTGGTTGTGACCTCTAGCGCTACCTTTGGGCGGAGAATGAGCGTTCGGCGATGCCTAGTTTATTTTTGAGGTAAAAAAGACCGTGGAAATTTTCTTTTCTGACACCCTCTACGTTTTGATAGTTCGAAGTGATTGGTTATTTTTTTTCCGATCAGCATGGCTGCGAAGTCAAGGCGTGTCCCCTTGGTGCCATTGTTTGGCGTATTTTTTATGGTGACGATTTTGGGTTCAGGATGTGTAAAAGGAGGGAGCACTGGATAAAGTGGTTAGCTGTGTTTGAAATGTCGTCGTGTTTCTTCCATCTAGTCTGAAGTGGTCTAAAAATGTATTCTTTTCATTTATTCTTTAAACAATCAATGAATGGAGCCACCTGACCACATCCATCGCCACCATACAGATCCGCTCTTTTTTTAAATGTGCCATTCAAGCACAGTTTTAAAATATGAATCCGCCTTCTTTTTTTTTTTTGTAATGCCTCTGTGCCGTTTTATATATTTTTTTTTATTACCACTATCTTTTGTAACGTCTTCGGGTCTTGGAGATATTTAAATAAAAATGAATAAATAAATAAATGTAGCGTCAAGTTTTTTTGTCAAAATACAAAATAAACCGAACTTCACGCAACGTATGTTGTAGGCCGAACAGAAGGGGCATATATTTATATATATAAAAAGAAACAGGCACGTGGAGTTTTGTTAGCACAGACGGGGATAAAGTACAGCTGCAGTGAAAGCATTTTTTCCCTTGCACCCCACTCGATATATCGTGTAATAGGTTCACGTGACCGGCCTCGTGCTCGCGCACTATATATCCCGGCATTGCACATGAATCGGACCCCTCCTTGCTTGTAAAGCTTGCAGTCAAGATGCTCTCGATTCGCGCTAGGGCCGTGATCAATCCTCTACGCTGCATGACAAGGATAAACAGCAAAAAACATAATTGTAAACGGTGAGTCTGACAACTTGTGAAAATTGATGCAACAAAGTTTCCATTTTAGAGTCTCAGAAAAAAAAAAAAAATATTATTTTTGTTTGTGACCTGATTTTTTACGATTTCTCTAAACGCTCAATGTAATAAATAAACCGCTTGATGGTCTGAGACGCACCTGTGAATATAAACTTTCGAAATATTGTGGTGAAAGTAGACACCGTCACAATTTCAATTTAACATTAAAAAAAATGCTTAGTTATAGATGAAGCAAACGAATGTTGAGTGGCTCATGTTCGCAGTATAAAAGGGTCACTGGATTAAAATTACATGGCTATGGGGATATCAGTGCGGTACATTAATGCTGATAACGTTGTTTGCTGCAGTTGCACGGAAGCCCTTAGCCGCACTTAGGTGCGACTCCGGTTTGATTCTACTGTGGCAATGGTGGCCGGGTATCTAGATTTTACTTGTGTTGGACTGCTAACAATGCTTTCGCATACCCGCGGTTAAGGGTGACCGTGGAGGTAGGGTAATAGTCTACTAATTTTTTATCGACTATTATGTTTTAGCTGCGAGGACATTCATCGTCCATGCCAGCTACTACCGGTCGCCTCGTAGCAGAATACTAATACGTTCCAAGCAGTGAAATTACTTGTAATCCTTTGTATTCATTATTACTTTTGCACGCAAACAACTACATACGGTATTAAGTAACTCTGTAGTCAGGCATATATTAATAACTTGATAAATGCTCCATCCCTCACGCGTAATGCTACCGCTCTAAGCGCTGCGCTGTCGAAAAGTAAGGCATCGTCGGCTCCGCCACGTAGCGACATCGGCATCGTCGGTTTTAGGCACGAGCGGAGAGAACGAAGCAACCTTTTGATCAAGCGACACGAAATCGTCGCGAGGTGGCAGATCTACCATCCTAAGCAGTTTGAAAAAGAATTCGGGAGCGCGTGGAACATAGCCTCGAACCGTGCTTGATGCGATACGCGTTGTGGGCTTTTTGAAAACAAGATGGCAGAAATGCTGTGGTACCGCCTGCTGCCTGCAACTCCAGCCACGGGTTGTGCTCTTCAAAGGCAGCACCTGAGAGTGACGTAGGCATTTGCGGCCAGGCGAAGTCCCAAATAACGTTTGACAGATGCGCGCGGAAACAAATATAACAAATAAAAGGTGCACACCAGTAGGTGTTACACTGTAAAACCAGCCTGAAAAATCGGCTCTCGCTTATAGAAGGTTCTACCAATAACCGAGCGTGCATTGATGTGGTGCATTTTAACTTGTAAAATGACGAAGCCACATTCTTTTCCCACAAAAAAGTGAGACCGACAAACGTCTTAATATAAAAGACGCAAGTGCTCGCGGACGACCGAACTAGCGAAATGTAACTTGTGACACAATCTCCCGATAGCTGCAGCAAGCAGTCAACCCAGTGTGTCCTCTGCTTGCTCCTTATATAGGGAAACGACGCCACACGTTCCATTAATCGCTTATTCGGTCATCAGACAACACGTCCTGTGTGAGCAATGGCAATTTCGGTGGTCTCGTTTTTTGAATGAAGAGAACTAGGTAGTAAAGATGACCTTATGTATTTTGTGGGCCCGAATATGAAGTAAATTACTTGCCTGAAGTTGTTGACGAGAAATATGATGGACCACTCCAGCGAAAAACAGATATAATAGCATTTTGAGTACCTGCAGTACCCCCAAAAAAGCAAAACAGAAGTTGAAAGTGTCGATTTTAAAACAGATTGAACGTTCTTTGGTTTGCGCGCACTTCTGTCATAAATTTTTTTTTTCTGCGTGTGGACACAGGGATCTTTCCAAACTCAGCTACTTCCACAATCCCGGAAAAGAGCCTCTGCTAACCTGGACTGCGGGAGATCTGATAGACAGAGCGGCAGACGCCTTCGGGGACACCAAAGCCATCATGTACCCTCATCAGAACATCAGCAAAACATACGCGGAATACAAAAAAGACGTGAGTGAATACTCCGTATATCTATTCATTTTCAGGCACATCTATGAGATTTCAATATTAAGTACGGATCCCTTGATGAAAAATTCCTAATAGTATTTTTAAGTAAAACAAACCGTATGCAAGATAAGCCGATTGAGAGCCACCCATTACTAGCCTTGTCTAACCTCGCCACCAGAATTCCGACTCATCATATTTGGCCACAAATCAGTGCCGAGCTTTCCTTGGCGCACGCTGTAACGTCCCATTACGACACGACGTCATATGACACCACGAATTTACGCAACACCATGACGTCACGTTGCATTGACTTAAAAGGTAACTCGGGTAATCTTTTTTAGGGTTAAGTCGGTTGTTAGTGAATGCAGGTTCCCTGAATTACGAGGTGCCATTTTTTTCGACGCCGTCTTTATTTTTGTAGATATACTATCCCACAGCTTTGTTTCGGGTGAATGCGGCTAGACCTAAACTACCCGCTCGAGCATGATGCCAACCCTACACGGATATCGTGTGACTCAAAGTCAGTATTTCGGACCGCCAAGCGTACGTTTGGCTTTGTCTTAAGTGTAGTTTCGATCAATTAGGTAAGATGCATGCTACTGGTGTTTTACTGCTTTGTTGTGTAGATATAAATTATCTTCAGCTAATAATAACCCACATTTATAAAGTTTTCGACGAAAAGGAAGTTTGCCACGACGAAGGCTGGCTCAAAATGATTTCCCATTTATCTTCTGAGAAGGACAACAATGTTGGAGGTTTGTAATGCACGTTACAAGAGCGTTGGGGAAGCTAATCGTAAGCTCGCGCTGAGCGGGAACGTGGGAATCTAGGGCCGCCAGTGAATTCCACTTTCGGCACCACGGCGCGCTTGAGGGAGCGGGGAGTCAATCATCTTCGTGCACAATTGCCGAAGAACACTTTAGAGCTAGGGCCTCTAAATCAAAACAGAGCAAGCAGAAATCGTCCGCTTGGATGGCAAAAAAAAGGAAACAGAAAATCGCGGTGAACGATGCAGCATTACGAACAAAAAACCGCCTTGGAACCCAAAAAAGACATTAGGGCAGAAGTTTGCTTGACAAAAAGCCAACGCTTGACAAAGCCTCCTCAGAAAGTGGCGGTAACCATTTTTTTAATATTGTTTATCGACTGGATCGAGGTTTCTCAATAGTTTAATATTTTGTAAGTGCTCGTACTTAGTCCCGCAACTTGATATTATTGATTTACTTGGTTCGACGTTTCCCGGAGTCACCCTTTATCGTGACACCATTTCGTGAGAGAGTGACTTCACGTAACCAAACGTTCGATGACACAGAGACGTTAGGTGGCACCACGGGGTGACATCGTGCCGTCATGTTGCGTGGCGCAAGAGCTGGATGTCACACCGTGACGTCATATGACCCTGACTACACCCGACCTAAGTTCACGTCATGAAGTGACCTGCTTTCCCGCTTCTACGTCTCGTTACGTCACGTGCAATCTGAAATTGTGGTATCACAGAAACGTCAGATCACGGCATGATGTCACGGAGGACCCAAAAATGATATCCATACGACTGCCCTTGTGTTAAAACGCCTGAGACTGTGTGTGAAAAAAACCTTGAAAGAACCAAAAGTAGAAGAGACAGGGAAACAAGTCAGCCAGACGACGTCTGGCTAACTTTTTTCAAGCGAAAGTAGAATAGACAGACAGTCTTTTTCTATCATTTCGGCCAACTGCAAAACAAGAATAGCCTTGCCTGAAAGTGTTGAAGAATATAAGTACTGATAATTATACTTCTCGTGCCATTGAAAATTAAAAAAAAAATGTAGCACTATGGTTAAGGCCAGTAATATGTTGCAGGCTTTGTACTTTATTCCGACGATTCATTAAATATGTTGTGCGGCATTAATAAACATTATATCTTTCGTTTATCAGGCGGCTCTATGGGACCCGCCTGATAGTCTTTCGCAAATAGGTCTGAGAGGCTTAAAAATTTGACACTAAGGCTTCAAGCAAACAACTACACTAAGCTTAACAAAAATAATGAAAATGAACTTCGTGGACTCTCATTTAAACATGAAATAAAGTGCTGGAGATTTCGCGTGACGAATCAAGGACGGGCATGAAATGAAACAGGCATTTTCATGGTGGAACCATGAGGGAGAATCCTGTACTTATATGCATACTGTTTTTAGTTCTGTTCACACCAATCCCGAGTGTAAATTGCTTTCAGAAGATCCAAACCCTGTCACTGATTGTCTTTTGTTGTTCGGATTTAGGGTACAATGTCCTATTGCATGATGAAATTTAGGGAATACGTGTTGGAATCGAATTGCATTGCGTCATTCATAACTTTCACGGTGGAACGGAAAGCTATGACAAACAGTTTTCTCAACAGCGTTAAAGCTATGTATGACACTTTCTTACTGGATTCATCCCCGTATTACGACACCGCTAATGAAATATATCTGTGATTTTTTTCTTCGACAGAATTGGTTTTGAAGTGTTTTTTTACGCGATGTTTTATGTACGCCTCGCCAATTGGTTACAAAACAATTTGCCTAGTTAAATAGTGAAGATGGCATATTACATTGCTGGGAAATCGCGTTGAATACAGGAACGTTCTAGCAACACATGACATGTCACGTGACGTCAATTTCCTCCCTAAATTTAGTGGAAAAGGGAACTGGTGTGGAAGTAACGTGACGTGTATATTGCTACTAAATATAGAAGATAAGTTAAATTGCCGTATCGGTCACGAGACATCAGATCACGCAACGTAAACTTGCCCACTACAATTAGGGAGGAAGTTGAATTGCAGTATAGCTCAGGGTACGTTATTTTGTCACTAAATTCAGCGTGGAAATTTTCGTCACGTGACCTGATGTAATGCGACAATTGTGTTCGTCAAATCTAGCGGAGAAACGAAAAAGGTGTTTAGGTCTGTGACGTCCCATAATGGAACACTGCTCGCGTTGCTATATAGCACGTCACTGCCGACAGCTTCGCAAAATATGGTTTCAAAAAATTTGGCTTCATATAATGCAGCGTCATGAAATCCGAAGCAGCTAGGTAAAGGATGTTTCACGTCATAAAAACATAACCAAGGTACACTCAATTGAAGCCCCTTCCTTTTAATTTTAAGGCCAGTTCTCGTTAAACTATTCTCTTCGTACATTTTTGCGAGAGCGTAACAGCAGACATCAAAAGTACGTTATAATTCTGGACCTATACATGGCTTGTGATGACACGCCGCAGCAAAAGCTCATTGCCGAACTTTGCTCAATACTAACACGCGATAAAATATTACCATGACTTGAAGATTAATTTTTTAACCGAAGAAAATATTTTTAAATAAACTGGTGTAAATCATTTCAGTTCAATATGTCCTAAGAGGTTCTTCACGGGTTCCTCCTCGGTTCGCTGTGTTTTTAATCTTAGGTAAATGATAGAGACTGGACATTACACGTCGATTAGGTCTTTTTTCGGATACTAATATTAAATACTCAGCAGTGCGGCTACCTTCAGACCGGCAATGAATAGGTTCCTGACTTAAAACAAATGTTGCTGTATTTAATGCTTACTTTTATTCTGTTTTCGCTAACTGTGACAAGTTTAATATCAGTGAAAACATGGCACGTTTCTTACATAAAAACCTAATATTTTTATGATCTAGAGGTTAAAGCTTGGTTCAAGCTTTAAAAAAAGCTTTAAGTTAGACCATACCTTTTTTATGGTCTGGAGATTAAAGCTTTAAAAAAATGGTCCTGATAGCATTCTAAATCAGTTCGTGCATCGGTATGCATAACTGTCGGCACCTTCTCTAATAATACATTGATGGTATCTCCCTATCCCCAATAGCCTTGCCTATGATTAAATTATGGAGCGATGGCTGGGCCTGTCATTAAATAATGTCGCCAACAGCAATGAATACCTTTCAGCCCATGTCCTACGCAGGCACTTCGTGTAAGGAGATGGAACTTAATATTGCCAACCACATTACCTTGTCTCCACAAACGCGACCAATGAACTCACAACATCTTAGCACCACTTTAGGAAATGACGCTCTACAGTTCCGATATTTGGATATGTACTTGACAAAGTGATGTAATTTTTCTAAAATTTAATAAGGCATCTTATTTGGTACCTTATGGAAACTTTACAGGTCTATAAGCATATATCCGTCTTAATCACTTCATCGTCATATGGATATGATCCTATTTCGTGTTGGGTGCTCAGTAATACTGAATGTCTCGTCTCGCGCACCAGATGGAAGTGTTCCAGGGCCGTTGCTGTTTGTAATTTACATAACGACATTGTCACTTGTCTTATCCAAACTGCAAAAATTACTGTCTTTGCAACAATTGTATCTTATTTCAAAACGTAACTCTTGCTTAGTTAACTAAAACTTTTGGGTGATACTTTGAATTTTAAGATCAATGTTGAAAACAATAATGTATTTTCAATTAACCATCAAAAACTTTTGTTTTACGAATAATAAATAATCTGCCTTACCACAAATAAATATTGTGACGTACCGAAAAAATATTTTTATAAATTTTGAATTGGCTCAGCCATATACGCAACAAATCCTTGCCGGGCTTCAGAAAGAGGTATTTGGTAAGAAATAAATTGAAGCCTTCTCCTACATAGGGAACACTACTAGCATATAATTACTTTATTGGACGCAACTAGATTATGGTAGTTGATTTTGAAACCCGGATACAAAAACAATACGGAAAAATATAGAAATATAGACACCTGCAGCAAGAAAGTAAATTGTGGCTCTCCCTCCTTCATAATGGATGTGAACAAAGTACCGGCTCTGGAGCGCCGCCGTGAAATAAATAAACGTTTAAATTATTTCTGTAACTAAAGGTTACTCCTTGATACACAAAGGATTTTGCTACTAGAAGTTATCATAAGCATTTTTTGAAACGCTTCTTTTGCAGTGATTACTTTGTATAAATCGTCCTTTTTCTCTTGCGCAATTAAAAACAGAATTCTTTTCCCTTAAACGTATT